GACAAATGGAAAAAGAGAAATAAGATTGACGAACAGGATTCTGACACGGAGGTTGGTGGCAATCAGAAGAACAGGAAGAGGCAGAAAGGCAGAGGTGAGCTTTGAGAGAGAATGGAGGCGTCAAAACTCTCACCTTTTGGTTCCCAGGGGTTCCCATCATTATCCGAAGGTGCTTTCTCAAAAGGGCAGTTTGGACTTTTATTTGGCTTGAAGGCCTTTCACGTCTCACCCAAGTGGTTCCTTCAGTTCTTCAGGATTGAAGAAGCTTCTTGGAGGAGAAGCGAAAGCCCTTCAAGTAAAAACAAAAGGCAGTCCGGTTTGTCTTTGGGAACTGAAGAAGCTTCTTGAATCAGAAGCGAAATGTCTTCAAGCAAAAAAGAAAACGAAAAAGCACCTTTGGGACAACTGTGGCCTGGATGACTGAGGCTCTCCATAGACGTGTGATCATAGATGGGCGGCAACCAGAGGCGGGATTCAAAAATCCCAACAACTGCCCAGTTGCTGGGTAGGCGTGGCCTACCAGAACATCCGGGAGGGCTGTTTTTCGTCTTCCCCATAGTCCGGAGGCTTCACTCGGGCTTCTTGGAGGACAAAAACAGCCTCCCCCCGGGCTCCAGAGGCCTTCCGGAAGCCAGAAACAGGCCTACTTCTGGGAGATCCATTTTTCACCCTCTCACAGCCTCCATGCACATCCAAAATGGGCCACGTGGAGACTCCGGGGTTGGGCGGGGCCAGTCGGTCGGTTCAACGACCAGTTGGGCAAACCAGATGCCAATTTAACATCCAGTTCGCCTGAACCGGCTGAATCCCACCCTGTTCAACTGATTTAAGTGCAAGCCAGTTTCCCATTGCCGACATTGTGTTCACGTAATGACGGGGGTTGCTGAGACAGCCAAGGAACAAACCGCCCTTCCTTCATTTCAGCCTGCCCGTAACTTCGCGTGAAAGGGCGTTGAGCCCACTAACAGCCATGTGGTTTCTGTCAGGATTCCGGCGGTCGCCTTAATTAAATCGTACGCCTCGAGCCAAGCTTCAAAAAACTTCGAAAGATTTATTAGGAGCAACGTGGTGCCGGCATGGCCTGTATGAAGCCAACTCCGAGACGTGTAATCACTATGACCCTGCCTTCCCAAATTCCCCTGGGCGTATCCTAATTCAGCTTCTCCAATGAAACACCGCGTTCATGGCCTGGGTGTGTCGTCACTCACTTTCCCCAAAAAAGGAACTTCCCTGTTGTCTTAAGTTACAATCTTTGTAAGATAAGCTTGGAATGTGCTTCTGATTTTATTTGCTGTATGCTCCTTCAGGTCTCTCCTCCCCCACCCATCTCATGGCAACTTGGAAACAGGCATAGGAATGTTTTACAAGTTGACAGTTTCATTATTCTGCGCCGGGGCTGCCCGTTATTAATTCGAACTCCATCCCAACCGTGGTTTTTTTTTGTTCCCTTCCAAAGGGCCCCACCCGGCCTCCTCCCAGCGAGGCAAGGTCCGCTCCGAGCTGAAAACCAAGGAACAGATCTTCAAGCAGAGGAAAAAGGCCTCCAAGCAACGTTTCCTGCAGGGCGGAGGGATGAAGCGCTTGAAATCTCGTAGCCGGCAACGGGTGCGAGAGATGCGCCAAACGGCCTTTGGTCGCGGAAACGTCAAGAAAGGCAAGCTGCGGAAACGGATGTAGAGGTCCTGCTTGCCCCGTGGTTGATCCTCACTGATTTACTGGGTAAACTTTGGGTCTAAAAATAAATAAAGATTTATTTCAGCATCCAGCTGCATCATTTGGAATGGGTTTCTTATCATGCCACATCCTCTTGGTTTTGGGTTGTTGTTTTTTTGAATTATTTTGGAGTAGAGAGTTATCTTGAATTATGTGCTTAGAGAAATGCAGAGTCCAACTTGGGGTGGGGGGATTTGCTTGATCATGTGACATGCTAGAGACTCAAGTGTCCATTAAGCTAAAGTAAGATTAAAAAAAAACACCAGGTGTGTTCAGAGCAAACCTGTTGACATCCAAACTTATACCAATAGCGTTTAGATTTATATACGGCTTCGTAGTGATTTACAACAGGCTCTGGGCGATTTACAGGTCGGCCTCTTGCCTACAACAACCTGGATCCTTGTTTTACCAACCTCGGAAGGATGGAAGGCTGAGTCAACCTTGAGCCGGTCAGAATCGAATTCCTGGCAGTGGGCAGAGTTAGCCTGCAATACCGCCTTCTAACCGCTGCAACATCAGGGCTCCTAACCTCCTGTCGCTTTGCAAATTAATTAAATTGAACTGACGAAGCTTCTTGGATGAGAAGCGAAACGTCTTCAAAAGAAAAACCAGCAGAAAAAGCACCTGCTCTGGATGACGGAGGATCTCCATAGACAAATTAATGTTTTGACTCTTTAGCAATCCACCATGTTTCTTGATTCGAAAGCAGCTTATTTTTTTTTTAAAACCAAATCATCTGTTAAACTACAGCACGATGCCTGAATTTAAACATGACACAGATAGGGATAAATTCCAACTTTTCCACACCTGTTATCCCAAAGTAAAATTGCTCCCTTCGACATGGGACCAATTTAAGTAATTAAAAATATCACGGGGTCTTCTCCCACAAAACTGCAACCAAGGGGATTCTGCGGCAATGTGGAATTGTAGCAGCAAGTCATATGTCGAAGACAGGACTCAAGACCACGGAAAAGGTGCAGGAAATCAGGTTTATTGCGCAACACGTTCAGAGCATTAGCATGACAAATTCTGAACACCCAGCTGCATCTGGGGTGGTTTCTTTATACCCAGAATGACCTCAGCATAGGTCTGGGCGTTTACCTTTAACACTTTCACAAATTACGGACAACTGATTATACACGCATCTTAGGACAGATAAATGCAATATCCTGTGTTACGGCAGGAACACAAAAGAGGATATGTTTTTCTTGCTTATTCTGTTATCTTACACCAACAGTAATTTTCCATTCCCATCCTTAGTCGCAAGAGAAGCAGAGCTTTACTTCCTTAAAATATAAGTTCCTTATTTTCGCAACAAACAAAATACAGAAGTAAATGTGACCCTGAGTTGGTTCTAACCTATGACCTAGATTTCTATAATGTCCATATTTTATATGCCTTAATTGGTCCTGCTTCAGAATAACATCAAAATGAGAACGTTGGAATGCAAATCCCATCCTTGCCTACTTCTACACTGCTATCAGGACAGTATTGGTGTTAGGAGGCAGTTTGTGTCATTCTGTCATTGTCAAACTGAATTCGTACGATTCCACCACCAACATTGATCTTGTAAGATGAATTCCTAACCTGAAAGTTCTCCTGATGTAGTAATTTCAACGACTATAAGCCCTCCAATCTATGTGATTCCTGCTAAGAGTTTCATGAGTTGATCTGAAGGGCACCAGTATTGCAGAATATTATTTTTTTGAAGTTAATTAAGAAGAATTGTAGGCTTGCCTAGGCTTAAGATGGAGATTGGGGAGGGAACTGGTGGGGTACTATCCAAGGTGCTGAAACCATGCTGGATTCTCCCAATTCCATAGTAGAATTGTAGAATTCTTGATTGGCCAAGTGTGATTGGACACCCAAGGAATTTGTCTTTGGTGCAAATGCTCTGGGTGTACATTTTAAAAAAAGATACATTGATCAAGAACCATAAGAGGCATAAAAAACTCTTCTTGTAAAGTTACATTAACAATTTTGCAAATATGAAGGTACATTTCTCCCTCCATCACCTTTACAGGTTAAGAAACTAGGGAAGGCCTCTCTGAGGTGTTTGCAATGTTGACATTCCTTCTATGGGCTCAGCTGCCTCTTATCTGACCGTTGCCTAGTCTGTAGCTCTTCCTCCAGTCTCCCAAGGCCGCTCGTACTTACCGTTAGAAAGTTTAATTTTTCCTAAAATCAGGAGATCCGTAGTGCAAGTTACAGAGGATGTAGTTGGGGCAATACGCACCTTAGATAGTAGTGACCGGCTGGCAGATGTACTGGCCTGAGATGGCACCCTTTTTTCTGGCTGTGAAGGTTGTGGAGGCTCTGCTTTGCGGAAATCGGCGAGTATTGCTGTTAAGTCTTCCACGCAAAGCTGCACCTGGAGGGATGGAGAAACAGAGGGGGTGGCTGTTGCTAAAATTGGGAGGAGGAAGTGGTGCATGCATTACCTTCCGTCGTCATCCTCTTTTAACAACCTCGTAATCCCTTGCGGAATGGAGTCTAGGCAACTGAAAGGAGTTGAGTGTTTACTGGCCGGATGCCCTTCCTATTGAGTTTTTTTTTCCAGGAGATCTATGTAGGAAAACCACTGCAGTTGGGGATTTAATAACCCGGTCTTAAGTGAATCTGGCTTGAACAGGGGGTTGGACTAGATGACCTCCAACTCTGTTATTCTATTCTATTCCCCACGGACTTTACTTGCTGGAAGGTCACAAATATGAACTAGTTTCCAAGCGTCTGAATTTTGATCCTGAGACCATGGGGATGGCGTCAACGGTTGCTGTGTGTGATAAACGGTCACAAGACACTTCTTCAAGAGATGTTGTAACTTCAAACGGACACTAAATGGATGGTTGTAAGCCAAGGACTACTTGCACCCGGGTATATTAAAGGCACTGAGATCAGCCAAAGGTCAATAAAAATTTCACAGCTTGGAGCCATGGCTAACAGACAAACATCTTACATTACTTCCCTTGGCGAGATCCATTGTCAGCGTATTAATAATTTAAAGACTCCCACGGGGTGAGTTTGCTGAAGCTAACATTGTTTATGGAAACACTACGAGAGCTGACCGCATCTAGTTGGGCGTCGGTGTCCTCTTGGGGCACATTCATGGGTAGCTTCCTATGCTTGATCACCATCTGGAAAAGGTTCAGAGCTGCAAGCTTGATCTGCCCCAGTTCCAGGGTCTTGCTTGCAGCCGTGTTCTGGATGCAAATCCAGTTGGACTCCTAGAAAGGGTGAAGCAAGAGAAGAAAAAAAATCTTAGTGCAAACAACTCTTGTTTTATTTCACCGCTGGGAATTATGTTCATTCCCAGCCGGTAATGAGTCCTAAACAGTCCCTCGAGATAAGCACCCACCTTTCTCTCCTTTGAATGGCTGCCAACAACTAAAGTGCCAAATGAACTGTAAAATGCCAACCGAAGTACAAAGTTGACACAGAGCTTCAAGGATTAATCCAAACAGAATGAATGACTTTGCTTCCTGCAAAGGTTTCTTTACATTTGCCTGACTGTTATACCTTAGGGGAGGTATAAAAGCCTTACTCCTGATTCACCCTTTTTCTCAGCTGCTCTCACCTTCTAGCAGCTCTGCGCACATGCGCACTGGGAACAGCCTCCACCCTGTTCCATGGTGACAGTAGGACAGGGACGGTAGGTACGATTGTGCACTTATGCACGCCCCCTTACAGACCTCTTAGGAATGGAGTGAGGTCCACGGTAGACAGTTTAAGGTTAAGGTTTTGGGGGTTTGAGGATGTAACAACAGAGTCAGGGAGTCAGTTCCAGGCGTTGACCACTCTGTTGCCGAAGTCGTATTTTCTGCAATTGAGCTTGGAGCGGTTTACTATGAGTTTGTATCTATTGTTTGCCCATGTGTTATTGGGGTTGAAGCTGAAGTAATCATTGACAGGTAAGACGTTGTAGCAGACAATTTTACATACTAAGCTTAGGTCAGACTGTAGGTGGCGTAGATCTAAGTTGTCTAGGTTCAAAATTTCAAGCCTCATGGCATAAGGGATTCTATTCTTGTCCTCTCTTCAGGTACTTTGGAGAATAGCTTGACTCCCTCTTCTTTGTGGGAGCTCCTCAAATATTGGAAGACTGCTATCATGCCCCCTCCTCGTCCTTCTCCTCATTAAACTAGACATACTCAATTCCTGCAACCATTCTTCCTTCTTCTCCAGTCCCTTAATCATCTTCGTTGCCCTTCTCTGCACTCTTTCTAGCCCACCAGGTCGCAATGGGTCGGACACGACTTCGCAACTAACAACAACAATGATGTCCTGGCCTTACCAATTCAAGGACCTTGCCCTGGGTTTGCTCCAGCTGATCTTGGAGCTCTGCCACCATATTATTTTGCTGCAAAATCCTGTTACTGCTTTCATCCAGGTACTGTTGCAGGCGGCTGCGTTCCTCCTCCACAGCTTCACGGGCAACTTGTTCTCTCCGGACCAAGCTGACCTGGGTGGCCCTCAGAGTCTCGAACCGACCAATCAGCTCTGAGATGTCCTGAAACTGCAGGACGAGAGAGAGAGAGAGAGAGAGAGAGAGAAAGAGAGAGAGAGAGAGAGAGAGAGAGAGAGAGAGAGAGAAGGAGTCTCCCTCTCCAACCTTCCCTCCAGTTCTGCCCCCCTTCCCCTCCCCTGCCCTCCTCACCTGCTCCGTCTTCCCCAGGACTTCCTGCAGATATTCACAGAAAGGCTTATGAGCTGCCAGGCGTCCTTGGAGTCTGGTCTTCGCCGTCGTTAACCGGGCAATTTCCTCTTGGAGGCGTTCCGCTTCCACTTTCTTATGAGCCATCTGCTGCTTTTCCTGCTCAGCTTTCCGCATCGCTCTGCTCCGTTTGGCATCGTTCTCCTGCAGGGGAGAAAATGGTCCTGGATCACACCTGAAAGCCTTTCCTGCTTTGGGGTGGATGCCAGCCCCTTCGAATCATATTAAAATTTTTTTTTAATATACCCTGTTTTTATGTCTGGAGGCTAAACCATATGATGGATGATTGAGGCAACTACTTTGCGTTGTGGTCCATCGGCAGCCTGCGGAGAGGGCAGCAGAGTCAGACAGTGGGTAGGAACATGGGCCAGTCTGGGAGTCTGGGGAGGACTTGGATGAGGGTCCTGCGTCCGACACAGAGATGGGGCCAGGACCATCTGGGAGTGGGGTGCTGACTCTGGAGCCTCCAGAATCTGACAGCAGCGAGGCAGAGGAACAAAGGGAGCCTGTTCCCAGTGCGCGCATGCGCAGAGCTGCCAGAAGGCAAGAGCAGCTGAGACAAAAGGGGTGACTTGGGAGTAAGGCTTGGAGGCGATTGGCCCTCCCATAAGACATAAAGAAGGAGCAAAGGGACAGGAACCTTTGCAGGAAGCAACTTTGTTCATACTGGTCGGTTTGAAACCTGAAAGTTGGTGTTGAATTTGTGTTCTGTTTGGCCTTGTATAACTAATTGGAAATTTAGTCGTTGGCAGCACTTCAAGGAAGATAAAGGTGGGTGCTTATCAGGCTTATCCTGAAGGACTTTGTAAATAGTCCCAAGGAAGTCTGCCAAACTGTTTTAGGCTCATTACGGGCACTTTACTGTCATTGCACCTCATACAATGAAATGAAATGCCATCTTCAGTGTACATTATACGTAAGAAAACTATAAAAAATAAAACACAAACACCCATCCTTCACCTTCTCTATACAATTGACACTGCATTAACATTGCACTATACGGTAGAATTCAATGGACTTATTGCCCTGGGATAGAAGCTGTTTTTCAGCCCATTTGTCCTTGTTTTTATTGTCTTATACGGTCTGCCAGATGGTAATAGTTCAAAAAAAGAAAAGAAAAGGTGCCCAGGATGAGATGGATCTCCACTAGGTATGTCTCGTCCAGTGGTCTCCAAACTTGGCAAGTTTAAGACTGGTGGACTTCAACTCCCAGGATTCCCCAGTCAGCATGGGGAAGTGAAAGGAAGTCCACCAGTCTTAAAGTTGCCAAGTTTGAAGAGCGCTAATCTAGTCCAACGAGGAGAAGAACTAGGGGTGATATGATAGCAGTCTTCCAATATTTGAGGGACTATCACAGTGATGAGAGGGTCGATCTATTCTCCCAAGAACCTGATGCCAGAACAGGAAGTAACCAGTAGAACATTAAAGAGAGATCCAACCTAGAATATTTTCTATCGATCAACCCGTGGAACAACTTACCTCCAGAAGTTGTGGATGCTCCATCATTGGAGCTTCTCAAGAAGACACTGGACAGCCATTTGTCCAGGATGGTATAGCATCTCCTGCTTGAGTAGAGGGCTGGACTAGAAGACCTTCAAGGCCCACTCCAACCCAATTATTCTATGTTCTGTTTTCATATTTTATTGTCCCTCTGTGAGGGACATGGGCGGTTCCAAAAATGGAATAAACAAATAAATAAATTCCAAATCTAATTCTGTATTACTCTTGACCGAAGATTGGTTACACTCCTACCTGGCTTGGATTAGAAGACCTCCAGTGTCCCTTTCAGCCCTAAGATTCTATGGATGTTCTAGTGCTGAGCTTCAAGAACAAACCTTCAAGAACTTGTCAAACTTCAGAATGGCCTGTTTGAGTTGACCTTCTTTGCGTTCCAGCTCTTGCCGTCGCTGCTGCAGATGATCCATCTTTTTCTGAAAGTCCTGGAAAGGGACAGGGAGAGTTAGAGAAGAGCAGCTGAAGAAAAGATACAGCCAAAGGCTTTTGAACAAAGAAAAATAAGAAGCTTGATCTTCTTGAAGTCAATGGAGATTCTGAATCATCCATGTCATGATCGTTCCAAAAGGCAACTGGATTTAGGGGAAAAAAAAACAAGACTAACGCCAAGGGCTCCTACAAAGATGAGGGTGGTCAAACTATTTTTCAAAGCACCAAGAGGCAAGAGGAGAAACAATGGATGGAAACTAATCAAGAACTAACAAGAAATTTCCTAATGGTGAGAGGAATTAAACAATGGAACAACTTGTTTGCAGAAGTTGTGGGTGCTCCATCGTTGGAGGCTTTAGAAAAAAGACTGGACAATCATTTATCTGAAATGGTAGAGGGCCTCTTGGTCAAGCAGGGGGTTGGACTAGAACAGGGGCCTCCAACCTTAGCAACTTGTGGACTTCAAGGAACTCTGGCAGTTGAAGTCCACAAGTCTTAAAGTTGCTAAGGATGGAGAGCCCTGCACTAGAAGACCTCCAAGGACTTTTCCAACTATGTTCTAAGAAAGTCCAACTATGTTCTAAGAGACCTTCAATGTCTCTTCCAACTATGTTCTAAGAAAGTCCAACTATGTTCTAAGAAAGTCCAACTATGTTCTAAGTCAGAGACCTTCAATGTCTCTTCCAACTATGTTCTAAGAAAGTCCAACT